GAAGGAGGAAAGGGAGGGAGGGAGGGAGAGGGAGGAAGGAAATAGGAAGGAATAAAGGAAGGAAATAGGAATGAGGGAATGAAAGGAAGGAAGGAAAGAAGGAAGGAAAGGAGAGAGGGAGGGAGGAAAAAAGGAAGGGAAGGGAAGAAAGATGTAGGTAGGTAGGTAAGGAAGGAAGGAAGAGAGGGAGGGAGGAAGGAAATAGGAAGGAATAAAGGAAGGAAATAGGAATGAGGGAATGAGGGAAGGAAGGAAGGAAAGAAGGAAGGAGAGAGGGAGGGAGGAAAAAAGGAAGGGAAGAGAAGAAAGAGGTAGGTAGGTAGGTAGGTAGGTAAGGAAGGAAGGAAGGAAGGAAGGAAGGAAGGAAGGAAGGAAGGAAGGAAGGAAGGAAGAGAGGGAGGGAGGGAGGGAGGAAGAGGGAAGGAAATAGGAATGAGGGAGGGAAGGAAGGAGGGAGGGAGGGAAAGGAAAGAAAGTGAGAAAATGAGAAAGGGAAGGGAAGATAAAGGAAGGAAAGGAAAGGAAAGGGAAAAGTAACATATAAAAGAAACGGAAGATTATACAGTCTTTAAAATCCTGCCATCAGAGCCGAGAGGGGAGGTCCCAGCCTGCACTTACAGCTGGGTGGTCTTTTCCCAGGGTCTTTTCCCGGATAGCCAAAGCATCGTTAAGAAGGTGGGCAGCTTCCTTATATTTATTTTGGTCTCTGGTGAGAAGGGAAAAAAAAAACATATTTAGTTTCTTAGATTCAAGTACTGAAGAAGTTCTGGGCGTTGAAGCCCACAAGTCTTCAAAGCGGCCCAGTTTGCTGGCTGGGGAATTCTGGGAGTTGAAGTCCACAAGTCTTAAAGGTGCCACGTTTGGGGACCCCCGGGTTAAAGTAAAAGCAGGGCCATTTTGTGTCTCTCTCCCCCACCCACCCCACCCACCCCACCCACCCAAGCACCACCACTGAGTTCCCCACCTGTAGACCAGCGCCAGGATATTCAGCATTGTCGCCACATCGGGGTGATCGTGACCCGACGTTTTCTCCAGGTCCTCCAGAGCCTGCTTGCAGAGCGGGACGGCCACCTCGTAGCGCCCCTGCGAAGCGTACTGGATCACCAGATTGTGCAACGTCCGTAGACGGGCCGGGATCTCGTAGCCCCCCTGCTGGGCCGCCGACTCGCCGCTCTGGGGAGTTTGCCCTGCAGAGACAAGACCTGCCCAGTCAGCTGGAAAGAGCCCGTGAGGGTATTTCCCCCTAGGAACTAAGGCACTCCTCGGCTTGTAACAGCACAAAATAATAGAATGATACAGTGGGGAGGGACCTTGGAGGTCATCTAGTCCAGCCCCCTGCTCAAGCAGAATAACAACAGAATAATAACAGAGATGGAAGGGACCTTGGAGGTCTTCTAGTCCAACCCCCTGCTCAAGCAGGAGACCCTATCCCATTCCAGACAAATGGCTGTCCGGTCTCTTCTTAAAAACGTCCAGTGTTGGAGCATTCACAACTTCTGGTGGCAGGCAGTTCCACTGGTTAATTGCCCTCACTGTTAGGAAGTTTCTCCTTAGTTCCAGGTTGCTTCTCTCCTTGGTTAGTTGCTTCTTGTCCTGCCTTCAGGTGCTTTGGAGAAGAGGTGGACCCCCTTCTTCTTTGGGGCAGCCCCTCAAATATTGGAAGACGGCTATCCTGTTACCCCTAGTCCCTCTTTTCATTAGATATACCCAGTTCCTACAACTGTTGTTTAACTGCTTTAGCCTCCCCTAATCCTCTTTCTTGTGTCACTTAACAATGACACAATGCACTGCTTAAGAATGGATTCGGGACCTTCCGTAGCTTACCTTGAACCTGGTCGTCGTCGTTAGGAAATAGATCGTCCAATGTGTCTTTTGCTGCCTCCCCATTTTTCTCATCCTGGGCAAAAAAAGGAAGCAATCAAAGGAAGGAAGGAGAAAGAGGGAGGGAGGGAGGGAGGGAGGGA